TTGGTCGCCATGATAAACTCAGACAGCAGCTCACCCGGTTCGTTCCATTCTAATCCGTGGGTCCCAATGTGACGTTCTTCTTGGTCCAATCTTGGCGTTGAAATCTCTAACGATGGCCTTGAGGAATGTATGGTCTTCTCTGTAGAACTTCTCCAAGTCCATATAGAACGATCCGACTTCTTCGTCATAGTTTGATGTCGACGCGTAAACGGCGAGGATTGTCAAAGCCGGAATCGATCTACGTCTTTTAAATCGAAAGCGTCCGATTCGGAATGTAAGTTGTTCGAATGAATCGATGCTACCTTATCCTTCTTGCTTGCATGAGTAATTCTTCTATCGAGGACTCGGATGCAAGTGTACGTGCATTGTAGGTACAGATCGTCACCTTAGTTATTCGCGATCCAGGCAGCTTCCATTGGCCCTGAGATTTTAGCGGCCTCTGCGCACTCGTCCTACCCAACGCTGCGAAACTGGGAGCTCATTAGGGGTCAGGGAATGAGACCCGTTTCTATTTTTACTGTGTTTAGCATTTTGATGCTCACGTATAGCTTGCTGGGCTCTGGACCTAGTTGCTGGGTATACTCACGGGTAGCTTGTCAGTCTCTCTCAGAGTGGACATGGAGCTTATTTGGTCAAGGTGACTCCTAACCACCTTTCCATATACTTCCCATTCACTTGATTGCACACTTTTGGCCGAATCAACTCGTAGAATACAATCCACATGAGCAAGAACCCACCCACACACGTTTGCATGAATACAAATAGCAAATACAGAAGGTATGTGCCGAATCAGCGCAGCAGAAGCAGGAAGTCCATCCCTGGATCTATCTGCTTCTCAGGGGAACAAAGGCCGCTTTTGGTCCGCGATTAACCCCCTGTCCACCACCTGGGGTCGCGCCACGTAGCCTCGCGACTCATAGGCTGGAGATCCCTAGCCGTGGTATGAGGGAGATCCACGGATGCCTCTATCAGGTTGAAAAAATCAATATTAAACATTGTGTGAGAACAAAAAATACACAAGAAAGCACACTGGAGAGCGCTTGGTTAGGGAAGTATTTGGCTGACTAGATTGCATATTAATTAGACCATACCAGACTCTGAAAAAGGCGAAATCCACCGAAACATAAACTATCGCGAAATAAGCACTACAGTAACAGCGCCGTTTGTGCTCATCAAGAGAACACTGAGTAACACTAATTTTAGTTTCTACAATGACCGCAGTTGGAGCACAGCCTGTTCCCGCTGGAAGTGAGTGATTTTGTAACCTAAAAAACTCTGTTTGACCGTACTCATGTCATGAAGACGCTTTCTAGCTTCTACGATGACCGCTGTTGGTGCACAACCAGCTGGACGTGGGTTATTTAACGATCGAGTTCTAGTGCCACCAAAATTTAGTTAGTTGGAAAAAACACTAATTTTAGTTTCTACTATGACCGCAGTTGGAGCACAGCCTGTTCCCGCTGGAAGTGAGTGATTTTGTAACCTAAAAAGCTCTGTTTGACCGTACTCATGTCATGACAAGACTTTTTAGCTTCTACTATGACTGCTGTTGGTGCACAACCAGCTGGACGTGGGTTATTTCACAATTGACTCCTAGCCCACCAAATTTACTCAGTTGGAAAAATCATTTATTTTAGTTTCTACTATGACCGCAGTTGGAGCACAGCCTGTTCCCGCTGGAAGTGAGTGATTTTGTAACCTAAAAAACTCTGTTTGACCGTACACATGTCATGAAGACGCTTTCTAGCTTCTACGATGACCGCTGTTGGTGCTCAACCAGCTGGACGTGGGTTATTTAACGATCGAGTTCTAGTGCCACCAAAATTTAGTTAGTTGGAAAAATCATTTATTTTAGTTTCTACTATGACCGCAGTTGGGGCACAGCCTGTTCCTGCCGGAGGTAGGTTCTGCTATAATGCAAACAACTCTATTGGACTGTGGCCATGTCGAAACGACGTTTCGTTCCTTTAGCTTCTACGATGACCGCAGTTGGAGCACAGCCTGTTCCCGCTGGAAGTGGGTGATTTTGTAACCTAAAAAGCTCTGTTTGACCGTACTCATGTCATGAAGACGCTTTTTAGCTTCTACGATGACCGCTGTTGGTGCACAACCAGCCGGACGTGGGTGATTTAACCATTGAATTTGAGCATCGTGTACATTGAACTAGTATTTAACACTTAAATAAACCGTTTTTCTAGTTTCTACTATGACTGCAGTGGGAGCACAGCCGGTGTCCGCTGGAGGTAGGTTCTTCTATAACCTAAAACTCTATTAGACCGTAGCCATTTCGAAACTATGTTTCGTTCTTTTAGCGTCTACGATGACCGCTGTTGGTGCACAACCAGCAGGACGTGGGTTATTAAACCATGGAGTTCGAGTGTCATCAACATTTAGTTACTCTTCCAAAGCTGAGAATATCGTTTATTTTAGTTTCTACTATGACCGCAGTTGGGGCACAGCCTGTTCCCGCTGAAAGTGAGTGATTTTGTAACCTAAAGAGCTCTATTTGACCGTAATCATGTCATGACCACGCTTTCTAGCTTCTACGATGACCGCTGTTGGTGCTCAACCAGCTGGACGTGGGTTATTTAACCATTGAGTTCGAGTGTCATCAACATTTAGTTACTCTTCCAAAGCTGAGAATATCGTTTATTTTAGTTTCTACTATGACCGCAGTTGGAGCACAGCCTGTTCCCGCTGGAAGTGGGTGATTTTGTAACCTAAAAAGCTCTGTTTGACCGTACACCTGTCATAACAACACTTTTAAGCGTCTANATTGAATTTGAGCATCGTGTACATTGAACTAGTATTTAACACTTAAATAAACCGTTTTTCTAGTTTCTACTATGACTGCAGTGGGAGCACAGCCGGTGTCCGCTGGAGGTAGGTTCTTCTATAACCTAAAACTCTATTAGACTGTAGCCATTTCGAAACTATGTTTCGTTCTTTTAGCTTCTACGATGACCGCTGTTGGTGCACAACCAGCCGGACGTGGGTTATTTAACCATTGAGTTCGAGTGTCATCAACATTTAGTTACTCATCCAAAGCTGAGAATATCGTTTATTTTAGTTTCTACTATGACCGCAGTTGGAGCACAGCCTGTTCCCGCTGGAAGTGGGTGATTTTGTAACCTAAAAAGCTCTGTTTGACCGTACTCATGTCATGACATCACTTTTAAGCGTCTACGATGACTGCTGTCGGTGCACAACCAGCAGGACGTGGGTTATTTAACCATTGAGTTCGAGTGTCATCAACATTTAGTTACTCTTCCAAAGCTGAGAATATCGTTTATTTTAGTTTCTACTATGACCGCAGTTGGAGCACAGCCTGTTCCCGCTGGAAGTGGGTGATTTTGTAACCTAAAGAGCTCTATTTGACCGTACTCATGTCATGACCACGCTTTCTAGCTTCTACGATGACCGCTGTTGGTGCACAACCAGCCGGACGTGGGTGATTTAACCATTGAATTTGAGCATCGTGTACATTGAACTAGTATTTAACACTTAAATAAACCGTTTTTCTAGTTTCTACTATGACTGCAGTGGGAGCACAGCCGGTGTCCGCTGGAGGTAGGTTCTTCTATAACCTAAAACTCTATTAGACTGTAGCCATTTCGAAACTATGTTTCGTTCTTTTAGCTTCTACGATGACCGCTGTTGGTGCACAACCAGCCGGACGTGGGTTATTTAACCATTGAGNACAGCCTGTTCCCGCTGGAAGTGGGTGATTTTGTAACCTAAAAAGCTCTGTTTGACCGTACTCATGTCATGACATCACTTTTAAGCGTCTACGATGACTGCTGTCGGTGCACAACCAGCAGGACGTGGGTTATTTAACCATTGAGTTCGAGTGTCATCAACATTTAGTTACTCTTCCAAAGCTGAGAATATCGTTTATTTTAGTTTCTACTATGACCGCAGTTGGAGCACAGCCTGTTCCCGCTGGAAGTGGGTGATTTTGTAACCTAAAAAGCTCTGTTTGACCGTACTCATGTCATGACATCACTTTTAAGCGTCTACGATGACTGCTGTCGGTGCACAACCAGCAGGACGTGGGTTATTTAACCATTGAGTTCGAGTGTCATCAACATTTAGTTACTCTTCCAAAGCTGAGAATATCGTTTATTTTAGTTTCTACTATGACCGCAGTTGGAGCACAGCCTGTTCCCGCTGGAAGTGGGTGATTTTGTAACCTAAAAAGCTCTGTTTGACCGTACACCTGTCATAACAACACTTTTAAGCGTCTACGATGACTGCTGTCGGTGCACAACCAGCAGGACGTGGGTTATTTAACCATTGAGTTCGAGTGTCACCAACATTTAGTTACTCTTCCAAAGCTGAGAATATCGTTTATTTTAGTTTCTACTATGACCGCAGTTGGAGCACAGCCTGTTCCCGCTGGAAGTGGGTGATTTTGTAACCTAAAAAGCTCTGTTTGACCGTACTCATGTCATGACATCACTTTTAAGCGTCTACGATGACTGCTGTCGGTGCACAACCAGCAGGACGTGGGTTATTTAACCATTGAGTTCGAGTGTCACCAACATTTAGTTACTCTTCCAAAGCTGAGAATATCGTTTATTTTAGTTTCTACTATGACCGCAGTTGGAGCACAGCCTGTTCCCGCTGGAAGTGGGTGATTTTGTAACCTAAAAAGCTCTGTTTGACCGTACTCATGTCATGACATCACTTTTAAGCGTCTACGATGACTGCTGTCGGTGCACAACCAGCAGGACGTGGGTTATTTAACCATTGAGTTCGAGTGTCACCAACATTTAGTTACTCTTCCAAAGCTGAGAATATCGTTTATTTTAGTTTCTACTATGACCGCAGTTGGAGCACAGCCTGTTCCCGCTGGAAGTGGGTGATTTTGTAACCTAAAAAGCTCTGTTTGACCGTACTCATGTCATGACATCACTTTTAAGCGTCTACGATGACTGCTGTCGGTGCACAACCAGCAGGACGTGGGTTATTTAACCATTGAGTTCGAGTGTCATCAACATTTAGTTACTCTTCCAAAGCTGAGAATATCGTTTATTTTAGTTTCTACTATGACCGCAGTTGGAGCACAGCCTGTTCCCGCTGGAAGTGGGTGATTTTGTAACCTAAAAAGCTCTGTTTGACCGTACTCATGTCATGACATCACTTTTAAGCGTCTACGATGACTGCTGTCGGTGCACAACCAGCAGGACGTGGGTTATTTAACCATTGAGTTCGAGTGTCATCAACATTTAGTTACTCTTCCAAAGCTGAGAATATCGTTTATTTTAGTTTCTACTATGACCGCAGTTGGAGCACAGCCTGTTCCCGCTGGAAGTGGGTGATTTTGTAACCTAAAAAGCTCTGTTTGACCGTACTCATGTCATGACAACACTTTTTAGCGTCTACGATGACTGCTGTCGGTGCACAACCAGCAGGACGTGGGTTGTTTAACGATCGACTTCTAGTGCCACCAAAATTTAGTTAGTTGGAATAATCATTTATTTTAGTTTCTACTATGACCGCAGTTGGAGCACAGCCTGTTCCCGCTGGAAGTAGGTGATTTTGTAACCTAAAAAGCTCTATTTGACCGTACTCATATCATCACCACGCTTTTTAGCTTCTACGATGACCGCTGTTGGTGCACAACCAGCTGGACGTGGGTGATTTAACCATTGAATTTGAGCATCGGGTACATTGAACTAGTATTTGGCACTTAAATAAACGGTTTTTCTAGTTTCTACTATGACTGCAGTTGGAGCACAGCCTGTTCCCGCTGGAAGTAGGTGATTTTATGACCTAAAAAGCTCAGTTTGACCGTACCCATATCACGACCACGCTTTTTAGCCTCTACGATGACTGCTGTTTTGGGAAGACCACCTGGACGTCTGTTATTTTTTCATTGAGTTCAAGTGTCGTGCATTTTTAATTAGTATTTGGCATTGAAAGAAGCGATTTTTTAGTTTCTACTATGACCGCAGTTGGAGCACAGCCTGTTCCCGCTGGAAGTAGGTGATTTTATGACCTAAAAAGCTCAGTTTGACCGTACCCATCTCATGACCACGCTTTTTAGCCTCTACGATGACCGCTGTTTTGGGAAGACCACCTGGACGTCTGTTATTTTTTCATTGAGTTCAAGTGTCGTGCATATTTAATTAGTATTTGGCATTGAAAGAAGTGATTTTTTTAGTTTCTACTATGACTGCAGTTGGAGCCCAGCCTTTTCCTGCTGGAAGTAGGTTATTGTATAACTTAAGCAACTTTGTTTGACCGTACCCATGTCAGAACCACATTTTCAGCTTCTACGATGACTGCTATTGGGGGACAACCAGCTGGACGTAAGTTAAATCATTGAGTTTGAGTATCCTGTACTTTTTATGGCTGTTTCATATTTAAAGAAACGCTTCTTTTAGTCTCTACTATGACCGCAGTTGGAGCAAAGCCAGGAAGTGAGTGATTTCATTACTTAAACCGAGTGACCTGATTATATGGTTTGTCTTTGCATGCATCATTTTGCATGTTGTTCGTCTTCAATCATGACGACAAGAAGGCGACAACCTGTCGGTGGGCTTTAACTTATAGCCCAGATCAGAATACTGAAATGTACGGGATAGAGAGTGGTATCAGTGAAACATTCGAGATTGGATGCATTGATTTCAGCAAAATTGCAAGCACTAATCGCGCCCCTCAACTTTAAAAGGGTTGTTGCTGGATTGTAATGCTGAACCATAATATTGCTAAAAAGTTCCCTATTGTTTTTATTGAAATCGTTCAGCATCCGTCATGACAGCTGCAGCTGCCCCTGGTGGCCCCGCGCTCCTCGGTGGACCTATTGGAGGTTGTTCCCTACAACTTCATTGTCGATTTATATTAGAAAAGAATATGCCTTTCAATTTCAAGAAGAGGTGTAAGAGTTTCACAAACTTTGATTTTTATTTAATGAGCATTAGAACTTACATTTAATTCAGTGGATTCAAATATATCACAGATTCAAGGGTCCATATTGAATAGTCGTCGACCAATAGCTACCGTCCTGAAGTAGCATCCTAGTCTAAAACGCCTCCTACAGCTTATGATGCATACCTGGCAAAACTTTCGACGACTTCCTGCTGAATATAAGGAAAAAATACACGAGCAGCATTCAACGCATAAATGGAGAGAGAAAACCGGATATTCTTAAGCTACAGTCGAACCCATGCATAACTCCTGACTATCTGCAGCGGTTGAAGAAGAACGAGATGAGAAACAAGGCTAGATATCTAAAATACAATTGAATGATACTATGTTTTACTTAACAATACTGCAGACAGAGACATTTCAGGAAACAGTATTAGAAAAAGGTCACCTCCGATCGGTGGATGAATTGAACGAGTCGCTTCTGGCTTGGAACAATCCTAGTCGCAAGACCACAAACCTCCCGTTGATGTGCAAAAAAGCACTACTCCCTGTAGGGAAGATTCGGAGTCGTCGTAGAGTGTTATCCTAGAAATTACAGTAGAAAAAAATTTTGCCCAACAACCAAAAGCGATTTCATCCTATGTGAGCAATACACGGAAGGTGCCACTCTTTATAGATGGAAACGCCTTTGGGGAAGGCAAAGTTGTCGAAAAGCTAGCTGGAGAACATCAAAATACGTGTGAAATACTTCTTGCAAGGCCATCAACGCCGGTTCATAAGATAATTTAAGTTGGTTGGTAATGCCAAGGTTAGGTTATCGAAATCTCGATTTCACGGTCTTTTGAACTGAAAGCAGAACATGAAAAGAGTCTATTTTTAAAGAACATGTGTATCACGATGTAGACAACGTTAAGACCTACTGTAGGATCAAATTATGAGCTAACAATTAGGAAGTTTATGTCAGAACAATTCACTTTTGTTGAAAGTATTTGAGCTAGAGAGTGGCTAGTCACATTTACGACCTTATTTCTTTCAGCAATACCGATAGCACCAGCACCTAAATCTATAGCAGCTGGTCCAGGCACTTCCGTATATTTTGGAGGTTCAGCGGGTGGTGCTCCGTTAGGCGCACAATCGGCATATTTTGCTGCACCTGCGGCTGGTGGTGGTGGCGGAGCAAAATCAGTTGCACTGGGAGGACCAAAAGGACCAGCGAACTTACTACCTGGACAGTCTGCATATTTCGGAGTTGGGGCAAAAGGAGCTGCCCCACCTGGAACAATGTCAACGTATATGTAAACTAATAGCATTGACTCTATTCAACTCGAATAAATATTAAATGCGAAAAACAAGAGAAAGTCTTAGCACTTCCTACGTCAGACAATTACTATATTTCTAGAAAAATGTTATAGCTTAGAAATATAACTCATTTTGATATGTATTCTTTCTTGATAGCTTGCACGAGGTTGTGAATATAAGCAACATTGATTAGTCACACCGAGGTCTAGAGAAAGTCGGTTTCGAAATATAACTCATTTTGTTGGAAGTCAAATAAAGTTCAACATAGCACGATTCGTCTTATTGCCACAGTTGTTATTGACCGTGGAACTTTCGTATTGAAGCACTGAAAGACGACTAACATAAAGTAAAATTGCTAAGAAGGCATCAGAATATTGCACAGAATCCATCTTGTGAGCATTGATACACCGACAAAAGACTTCTTCCTACATTACGACGTAGCCTGGGTTTAGGTTTGTGGATTATTCTGAATCCTTAGTTCATGCAGAGTAGCTTCTGATCTGTATGGTGTTCACTGGGTGATAATGGCTGACAAAAGCTTAAATGAACTAGCTGCTTTCTTACGAATTTGTGTATTAATGATTAGTACAGTCGGAAACACTAATGTCGTGAAGAGATGTCGTGTAGATGGAGCACAAGCTGGAACAATTGCCTAATTTGTGAGAATGTCTCTAAGTAGGACTAATGTGAAATACATGTCTACTCGTAGGAATTCTTTCATCTCTAGAATAGTTAACTACTGTTGAATTTGTGTCAAGTCTGTTACGGTAGATGATAGCGTACCTTTAGTACTTATAATTTATGGTTCAATAGAGTCGTCAGAAGGAAGAATTTCCGTAGAGATTTTTCTTCTATAGATTTTCCAACAACCATTATTCCTAAACCTTTGAAATGCGAACAAACCATTCTTAGAATTGACAAATTCATTAATAGTACGAAAAACGGACGAAAAAATTGCTGTTAACGTTTAGCAGATACTTTCTGGATTCTCGAGAGCAGTCCTTTAGTCTTGTCTCAGTTTTAAACCACATGTGAGAAATTCATTGACACACTCACATTTTCAGAAAACTACGGTGATTACGATATTAATTTAACAAAACATAGTTTGAAAAGAGCATTTTTGAGGAAAAAAAGAGTTTTAGAGAGAATATCAAAATGCGAAGCTACCGTACTTGGTATTCTCGAATGCGTTGTAGGTTTAACAATTGAGAAAGGAAATCTGTAGTTGAGTAGATTTCTAAAGGAAACCATAGTTACTTCAAGGTTGTATCATCTGCAAAACTTCTCTACGAGCTTCGTCTTTTATGCTAGAAAGTATATGACATTTCTATTCGGAAACCCAACTGGGAGTAAACCAAGTTAGGAATCAGTGTTTTCTTGGCAGCATCATAGTCGTAAGGTGGCAAAGTTCTTTGTGCTTCATAGGTCCGGTTACTGTCGGACCACTTGGGGAAATCCTATCACTACTGTGTCCAAATTTCAATGGAAGAAAGTCTTTCTGAACCAAAAATTACCAATGAAATGGAAATTGGAGTAGGTGTTTCACTATACATTCGTTATTGCTAACGTCTAAAGGATCAAGGTAAAATTTGAGAAATGGAGCTCACATTCTCATTGAGGTTTCAAGTTAAGAGCGTAAGAGAGTAGAAATCATCTGATTAAGCTTGATTTCGTCCTTATATGACTACAATCAATGCTATACGGTAGTTGGACGTCCTCCAGAGTCAACCACTATCGTTTTGGCCAGATGTCGATGTACGCCGTTCAAACCAACATTTTCATATGTTTGTGCTAACAGGATCTTCTTTCGATAACAGGGTTTCGTAGTATTAGTAGAAGATGTAAACGATAAGGTACTGGACTTAACGGCTTATAGAGAACGTCGTGTATCTACAAAGCGATCACACTTGATGGGCGGGGATTTCCGTCACTATAAAAACAAACAGCCTCCACAGAAAACGACACCCTAGTCAGCATTTTATCTCACTTGTTCGAAGTTTCATGTCCACGGAATTTTTAGCCGATGTCTCATACGTCACTTACCATCGTCATGGCAGGAAGTGCAGTTTTCACTATGACTGCACTAGTGACTACTGCTTGGATGTTCATGGATTTGGGAAGATTCGAAGAGAATTTTATGAATGAACAATTGATTTTTAAGGTACGCCAACCATTTCGCTGGAATTAAAATCAACAATGACGAAAAACAGAGTCTGGACATTATCTTTTCTCTTGTCTTTCATATGTTAACCTGAAAAGTCATAAATTTATGTATTAAGTGCATTACAAGGAGTTAAGTATAACTAGGTAACAGAACAGTCAACGAACGAAATGAAAACAGCCAGAATCGCATCACACCCAGAATCGAATTTTCATCAAACCATGTATGCTAAAAGAAACACTTCTCTTTGCAACGTTAGTTCTCTTGAAAGTGGTTTCCTCGTGACTAACTTGGCGATAAGATAAGCGCATTCTTCCTTGATCAATGCCTGGAGGATGCGCCATGCATTCGAATCTATTCATAGCACCATAGGTGTAATTGAAGGCATACCTGGCCTGTACGGTGATTTGCTGTGGCTTATCGATCTATCAAGTCAAATTTTATTCACGTAGACAAGTTTGGTAGCAAATTGTCGATACTGAAGGTGTGGTAGGCTTGATGAGCACAGAAAGTGGGGTCGAACCGATGACCACAAATGTGTTTCATACCACCTTTATCCACTATGCTACGTAACTCCAGGAGCTAACTTATTGTTGAAATACACAAAAATAACTTCGAAATCATTCCCTACAGCTTCATTTTCAAACCAAAAATTAGCAGCTTAATGTAACCATTCTATTAATAACGAGGAAAAGGGAAAATCCAGGAAAATTCGAATGAGATTTGGAGCAAGATGATGTTGAATGATCATCATCGTGTTGCTCGCGGCACAAAGCGCTATCGCCACAGTAATAAGCGGCAACACGGAACTAGAACCGCAAGAGAAGGCAAGTCTTCACAAAACAATTTCCTCTTAAATCTAAAGTAAAGATGTATTCTTTGCAGAATACAATGACAGTAGAAGAGAGCCAAATGAAGGCAGAATCGTTGACGAAGTAGTAAGCGGAGGCGGTAGTCCCACAGCATGCAGTAAATCAGATTTACTTGGGAAATAATTCCACTTCACTAACATATTTCATAGCAATATCATTGAATAAAATATTCTTTGTTCTTACTACTAACAACTTCAGCATGCCCTGTGCTGTCGTGTCCTCCTGGGCCAGCAGGACCACCAGGTTCCGATGGACCACCTGGAGGTAAGCGGATATCGCCTTCCAAATCATCAAAAATTTCGACATCAACAAAAGATAGCTTCTCTCTGAGTAGTTAATAAGTGTCTCTTCTATCGTTTTCTTCCAGCTGTTAGTAATTAAACTTGGAATTAACAGAGGACGGTACGTCAGGGAAAGATGGAGGACGAGGCTTAGACGGAGGCGACATGGGTTACAATGCAGCGCCAGAGAAATGCATCAGGGTAAAACTTGTGGGAAAATACTTCTACTCTGTGCTGCATCACTCCAATTTTCACAATTTAGTGTCCGGCCGGCCAGCCAGGTCCAACTGGACCAGATGGTCCACCTGGGCCTTATGGAAATCAAGGTGAAGTAGGCGAGCCTGGAGCTGAACCAGAGTTCGGAGAAAGTGGGCCGCCTGGACCTCCCGGACCACCTGGGCAAAATGGAATTCCTGGAGGACCAGGGCCTAACGGGGAACCAGGACAAAATGGACAGAAACATATGCGAGGACCTCCTGGACCACCAGGTTCACCGGGTCCACCGGGAGATTCTGGATTAGGTTTGTTATAATACACTAGTCAATCTAAAACGTGTACAAAATATTATTTTCAAAATTTTCTACCTTCCAGAAGGCGACGCTTACGTTCAACCGCCGTCTGAACCAGGCCCACCTGGACCTCCAGGCCCTCCAGGAAAAGATGGCATACCTGGAGGAATAGGGATTCCAGGGCCACAAGGAACAGAGGGACAACCCGGGCCCGATGCGGCATATTGCCCTTGCCCGTCGCGAACAACTAGTTATGTGGATACAAGAGATCCTGATTCATATGTAAAGGAAAGCAGCACAAAGAAACCTTCCTATGTTGCTCCCAATGATGGTCCACCGTCTAGAGGCGCTTATATTCCACCAGATGGTGGATCGGGGAAGTCATATGCGACTGGTGCTAAAGCAGATTACATAGCCGGAAACAGTGACAACAGACCTCCTAGAGGAACTTTTGGAACCACAGCTTCTTCAGAAAACCATAAAGAATCTCCGGCTACGGTGAATTCTCGAAAACGTCCATCTACACAACATGTGGTGCAACCGCCGTCTATTAAACCAAATCGTGAAGCTGAAGTTCCTTCATCTGATGACGACGGCAACAACATCACATTCAGTAAAGCACCTAAAACCCGTCAAGCACAAGTGTCAAGAAAGCAAAACGGAAAAGTTCGAAGAAATTCCACGAGAAAAAGACACCTGAGAAGAAGACACCACTATTAAATGATATCTAAAAAATGAAGCAGTCAAAAAATCGAAAATAAAATGATAATTTTGCCTCGAAATTGTTCACTTCTTTCTCGATTTTCTTTCAATATTCTTGACTGATTTACGAATAAATGACATGCACAGTGACTTACTTCTTAATATCAATCGATGAAAAAAGAAATGCTGTACCGTGATCACAAAACTATTTGGAACTCATGAATTTGTCCTAAGGCTATGCTAAAAACCTGTAAGGTAAGCCTGTATCACCTGTCACCTCTCAAGCCATTGATCACGAGTGACTCTAGCGAGCGCCAATAAATCTTCCACTTTCACCCTTCGCGTGCAGAAGTAGCCTCGTTTCTGCTCGATCGAGGGTGTCGTTGAGCATCACACATTCTTTCTATGGTTTTCGCGACGAAGTCTGAACACTGGATCGCTGGTCTTACTGTTGTGAGTTTGACGTCCCAAGGAATCCAGTCGATAACGGCTTTTCTCCAACGGTTCCTGTTCACATGCATTCTGTGTCCGCCCCACCTTATCTTCGACAGTTTAGGCCATAGAACGGCTTCTTAGACTTCTGATGGTTGACGTATATCGGAGCTTCGAATACCTTCTTTCATTTGTGTGACACGGGATACCACCAGCATCGTTCTTTCGACAGCGTGTTCAAAAACGCTGCGTGATCTTTCATCCTTCTTACGCAGCGACCAGATTTCTGACGCATAGGTTAAGGCAGGAAGAAGCGTGGAGTTCAAGTAATCGTCAATGATTTTCTCCATTGTCTTTCTAGAAGTCTGTTCCATCTCGGCGACGGAGCACTATTATCCTGTTCTTGTAATTGGCCAAATTTTCGTGAGCTTCACGAATACTCTTCTCAGACCCAGTAGCTTTGCCATAACTACTGCTCTTAGTTCTTAAGATCTTATTTTATCACCTTTCGCAGTGTTTTCGAAATTCAGACCTAAGTTTGCGATTGTATGTGGCGTTCGAATCCAGACCAACGTACCACCTCGAGAGTTTCTGAAGACAGATGTCTCTTATTTAATTTCGAACTCTCAGCTTTCATACGCGCTACCATGAAGATGTTAAGGTAGCCGATCGCATTTCTTGTTCATGTTATCAAGAACCTCCTAACGGTCGTGGCTGCCAGGTGTTCCTGGATGTCGGACTGCGAGGTACAGTGCGGAGATTCATCCCTCCAGCAGGGTCTCCCGAGCTGAGAATGAGACCGGCGTTTCCATCAAGAAGCCTAACTAAGGGTAAACTAATACCAGGATCACCACCGTCCTGGTATCAAACTAGTCGCATGGTGACAAAACTCCTTCCGATCCAAAAGGGCGGAGACTGCCTGTGGTGGTAACGACATGAGGCAGACTTTGGCCTGGCTGACCTCGACACTACAGGGAATCACAATAGCTAAATTCCGAAACAATGGAAATTATGCTGGGGCCCGCACAACCAGTGAAGACAGACCATCCAAGTAAATAAGTTATCAAGAACGGCATCTTCTCAACAGTCGACCAATGAACTGAATAAATCCCAGTTTAGTCAATTCAATGATTACTGCTAAGCCATTTTGAGGTATACTTATGACCATGTGTAGAAAAAGAAGCTCAAATGCTATAATACATGGCGTCCAATATTTTCAGCTTTACAAAACTGACCTACATAATCGTTAACTTACGAATTTATCTCGACCTGGATAATCAGAATTTGAGCACATTAATAACTTGACGTTAGTTCAATCCTGCCCAGCTCATTCAACCCTCCTGGCGGCAAATCGGCGTCAGACTTGTCTTGCAAGAGTTTTATACCGCACATAAAGATTGGCAAATATGCGTGGTGAAAACTTGAGAACGCTCTAACAGAGCTATCTCAGAAATCCAGGAAGCGAACCCACACGCCAATCCGGATATATTTGTGAATGACGGATACGAGACAACAAATAGAATGGAAAAAGTTCCCGGATCTGCGCAATATTTGAGGATAATCGACTGAAATACAGTATGACATGAAGAAACAAATAGGTGAGATAACATAAATAAATAAATATATTTAACGTTTTGTTTTCTGCCTTCTATAATTTTCATGGCAGGTTACTAAGCGAAATACAACCACAACGTTGCTGAGATATTTGCAAAACTCTGGACCGCAGGTGTCTATGGTGGGGAACGAACGCGCTATTATCCTTTCCGGGGGCAACCCCGCTGATGGGTGATTGCTGTGGCAAAAAGATCGATAGAAATAGCTGAGAGACGTGCGAAACAAAGGACCCGCATGGTGTGGTGGTGAACGCGTTACTCCCCGGAAAGGATAATAGCGCGTTCGTTCCCCACCATAGACACCTGCGGTCCAGAGTTTTGCAAATATCTCAGCAACGTTGTGGTTGTATTTCGCTTAGTAACCTGCCATGAAAATTATAGAAGGCAGAAAACAAAACGTTAAATATTGTGATTTCAACTACAGCCATAGCTTAACTGGGTTCTATGCCGATTTGCGCTCCCCAGATCAACCCCGCTGATGGGTGATTGCTGTGGCAAAAAGATCGATAGAAATAGCTGAGAGACGTGCGAAACAAAGGACCCGCATGGTGTGGTGGTGAACGCGTTACTCCCCGGAAAGGATAATAGCGCGTTCGTTCCCCACCATAGACACCTGCGGTCCAGAGTTTTGCAAATATCTCAGCAACGTTGTGGTTGTATTTCGCTTAGTAACCTGCCATGAAAATTATAGAAGGCAGAAAACAAAACGTTAAATATTGTGATTTCAACTACAGCCATAGCTTAACTGGGTTCTATGCCGATTTGCGCTCCCCAGATCAACCCCGCTGATGGGTGATTGCTGTGGCAAAAAGATCGATAGAAATAGCTGAGAGACGTGCGAAACAAAGGACCCGCATGGTGTGGTGGTGAACGCGTTACTCCCCGGAAAGGATAATAGCGCGTTCGTTCCCCACCATAGACACCTGCGGTCCAGAGTTTTGCAAATATCTCAGCAACGTTGTGGTTGTATTTCGCTTAGTAACCTGCCATGAAAATTATAGAAGGCAGAAAACAAAACGTTAAATATTGTGATTTCAACTACAGCCATAGCTTAACTGGGTTCTATGCCGATTTGCGCTCCCCAGATCAACCCCGCTGATGGGTGATTGCTGTGGCAAAAAGATCGATAGAAATAGCTGAGAGACGTGCGAAACAAAGGACCCGCATGGTGTGGTGGTGAACGCGTTACTCCCCGGAAAGGATAATAGCGCGTTCGTTCCCCACCATAGACACCTGCGGTCCAGAGTTTTGCAAATATCTCAGCAACGTTGTGGTTAAATAAATATAGGTTAAAGAGTACGGCTAAAGATAGTCACTCTGTTTCGTGGTGTATTAGACGTAGAATGACTACTTCATAGTTATAGCGCTCTAAAGCTAATTCAAGCAGGCAGCTAGAAGAAAAACCACAGACAGGATGGGAAGGGTTCTAACACTGCGGACTAGTGTTTCTGAATGTAAACAGTGACCGTCTGTGCCATAACTATTTTATTCGATATTCTGACAATTCCTCACCATTTCTGGACCTCCAAGTTTTTATTCATAACGGTCTCCATAAGAGGTCCTGTGCCAGCCATAGCACACACATTTTAAACTAAGAAACCTTCGGATGAAAGGTGAGTTTATAATCAACTAGTCTTTCAACATCACTTAGAAACAACGTACGAATATTTGCGGTATCGTATGTACACAATTCTATGATTACCGTGTCTTCTACGACGTTCGTTGTTGCTAATTAAATAAGTTGCATACGGAAGTTGTGATAAGCAGTAGATTTAAAAGTAAGCAGGCTGGCATCCAACTTTGCGGCAAAAAGATAGATGACTGGAAGGTTCCTAAGATGTCGAAGCGAGGTAAACCAGACAAAAAATCGCTTGTAAAGTGAGTTATGGCTTCACCTATGTGGCTATCAATGATAAGAGTATACTGACGAGCGTACGTTTTCTGCATTTGAAATCTTAGATGGCTTGCTATAAAGCACACAACTGTGATACTACATGAAATCTGAGACATGAAAAGATGCAGTTATGCATCCTATATTATCAACTAAATCAGGTTATAACCACCATTATGCTGAGATATTTGCAAAACTCCGGACCGCTGGTATCTGCGGGGTGGATCGAACCCGTTATTGCCCTGTTTTTGGGACTAACCGGTTCACGACCGCAACAACCGAGTCTTTATTTTCGCCTTTCTCTCAGCCGTTTTATCAACCTATAGGTACCATCAGCAATCACCCGTCAACGAGATTGATCTGGGGAACACAAATCGGCATTGAACCCAGCTAAGCTGAGGCTGCAATCGAAATCACAATGTAATCGCTTTTTATTTACTGCCTATTCTTTTTCCATGGCAGGGTATGACGTGAAATACAACTGAAATGATGCCAAGTAAATGAAGCTAGACCAGCAATCTGGGATAAATTCTGCCCCCGACCAGTCAGCAAATGCGCTATCAGTCCATTTTGGGATGAACCGTTCACCTGTATCACTTGTAGTCCCGTTGATCGTCGAGTGACTCGAGCGGGCGCCAGTAAATCTTCCACTTTTCCTTGTCGAGTGCAAGAGTAGCCCAGTGGATTCAGCTCGCTCTAGGGACTCGTCGAGCATCATATCTAGGCTCTTTGTGAAGAACTCTGACCATCGGATCGGTGGTCTTCCTGCAGTACGTTTGACATCCCGAGGAATTCAGTCACTAACGGCTCTTGTCCATCGGTTGTCATTCATACGCGTTACGTGTCCGGCTCACCTTATTAATCAACCTTTATCATACTGATAACGGCGCTTTTTCTCCAGGAAGGGCTAGGCATCTGCTTACTGCTTTTTTCTATTCGTCAGTAATCAATTTGGCTCATAATCCTGTATATTGCTTTAGCTAGTTCCTTAAGCCGTTTATTCGGAGAATTTTTTGACAGAGAATAGACCATGCTGATCCATTTATTAACTAATATTATTAATAAATGACTTACTTCAATGATCCTGAGATATTTGCAAAACTCCGGACCGCAGGTGTATGCGGTGGGGAACAAACGCGCGCTATTGTCCTTACCGGGGAGTAACACGTTCACCACCACACCATTCGGGTCCTTCATTTCGCCTGTCTCTCAGCTAGTTCTATCGATCTGTGCCGTCAGCAATCACCCGTCAGCGGGATTGATCTGAGAAGCCCAAATCGGCATTGAACCCCGTTAAGCTGAGGCTGTAGTTGAATTCACATTGTTTACTTTTTATTTTCTGCCTTCTATTATTTTATGGCAGAGACAGGCGAAACGGAGGACCCGCATGGTGTGGTGGTGAACGTGTTACTCCCCGGAAAGGACAATAGCGCGTTCGTTCCCCCACCGCATACACCTGCGGTACGGAGTTTTGCAAATATTTCAGCATCATTAAAGTTATATTTTGCAATATACCCTGCCATTAAAAAGAAGAGTAGGCAGAAAATAATAAGTGAAAAAATGACGTACTATTTGTTTCGATCGGGTTTTTTTAGATGTCATTCAGTCGTGGAGCGAATACGCTAAAAGTGTCAGCAAAGCTATTTGCTGAGAATCGAGTTCGTCTTGTGGAAACGTTAAAGGTTCTACGAGTAGTTTATTATTTATTTGTTAGCAGTACTGATTGCAGTCCTGACAGAATATGTTGTTCTGTGCTGCTTACAGAGTGTAACATCACCAGGAAGTGTCGTTCTTCTGCAAGGAGGAATTGAGAAGAGTCGCTATAACACTGACGCCGAAGATTTACCATTCAGACAGGTTTCTGCCAACATTATATAATGAGAAATGTTGAGCTCATCTTAGGTCACGTGACACTTGCGTCTTAGGAATCATATTTCTTCTGGACTTTTGGTGTACACGAAAGTGAATTCTATGGAGTGATTGATGTGGACTCGGGAAAATCATGCCTCTTTCCACCTACTCTGGATCCAAGCTATGCTATTTGGGATGGAAAGTTAGCTCTACGTTTGCGTTATCTTAATTCATTAATGATATACTTGACAGTTTACCTAGTATGTCGATATACTACTTGGACCTTTAGTTTACCCGTCTTCACTGGTTGTGCGAACCCAGCACAAATTCCATTTTTTTGGAGTTTTGCTGGTTTAGCTGTCGTGGTTCCCTGGACTTCCGAGGTCAGCCTAGCCAAACTGTGCCCCAGGTCGTCACGTCACCCTCTCATCCACCAGCACAGGCAGTCGCCACGCTTGTGGATGAGAGGGAGATTTGCCACCATGCGACTGGTTTGATATCAGGACAGTGGTGGATCCTGGTATTGGTTTACTCTTAGCTGGGCTTCCTGATGGAAACGTTGGACTACTTCACAGCTTGGGAGGACCTGCCGAGGAGATGAGTCCCCCTCTGCACATCGCAGCCAGACACCCAGTAACACTTCCTAGCCACGATGAGGCACTAAACCATTGGGAGGTTGTCAGTATAATACGTATTAATTTTACCGCTCATACTTTAATGACATTATTGCGCCTTGCTTCAGAATTAACGACGAAAGTTGGTTTAAAGATAAGTACGAGGTCGATGAAGTTCATTTCAACAAGGAAAGAATCATAAGTGACCATCTTCAAAAACTCGGAGCGAAAAAGGTTTTGCTTCTGGTCAGTTTGAATTTTCCTTCAGTTGTTCGCATTTGAATAATAACAAATCCTTTGCAGAAAGCACTAAACACTGATAGTGGCAACATCCTTGAACCTCCTTCGTTCCCTGGGAAAGAATTGTAGGTTTGCTTAGATGTGGGATGTTTTCGGTCACATTTCTTGCTATAACAAGTTACCATACATTCCAATTTCTGGATTGTAACTATATAAGCGATCTTACTTGTTTAGATTTGATATCGACGTGAATAAGTTGTATCCTGTTATGGCTGAACTGCGTGTTTTTAAAACGGATAGAGAGTTAGAGGTCACTTTTAGGAATGTCTATGCTTTTTGCAGGTTTCTGAAGAAAAGGACATGATGTCGGTCGTTTAATTTGAATCCCATTGAAACCTTCTCTATCGTTGTTTACTTTTGTTAGGTTATGAGATACGCCAGTAAAATTGCCTCGGAGGCTCATCGTGCCACAATGAAAGCAGTACGCAATGGTCTGTATGAGTACCAGATGGAGAGGTACAGTTGGTACCTATTTATTTCCGAATCTCTATGTCTACACATGAACCACTACTTTTCACAGCGTTTTCCGTCATACATCTTACTACCATGGAGGTTGTCGTCATTTGGCCTACACATGTATTGCAGCATCGTATGTTCTTTTTGGTTCAATAAAGATGTTTCTGAGAAATTCGCAGAACTTGAACCCTGGGCCAGATCGAACCACAACTACCGTTTCCGGTGGCTCCCGTGTTATAGCGTTAGGTAGGAAACTAGCTGAGCGAGACGCAAAGCAAAGACCTCAGTGGTGCAATGTGTAATACGCGAGCCTCCGGAAAAGTAGTCGTGGTTCGATGTGGCCCGGGGTCCAAGTTTTCCGAATATCTCGCCATCGTTGTTGTTATATTTGACATCAAATCCTGCTAAAATTATAGTAGGCAGCAAATGAAAGGTTAACGATTTTCCTACTAACCAACTTCGTTCCTGTTAGAATAATTTGTATAAAAATTAGAACACTAGCATACCTAGAGCCCTGGCAACTAGTTACATCGTTTTAATTTGCGAATTAGTCCTCTTCGGTGAATAACATTGATCTAACGTTAAGAATAAGCTTACAAACTCAGTGTGGAAACATTACCAGGGGAGACAACAGTTCAATCCTTCATTACGGACATGCAAACGCCCCTAATGAAAAGCAGATTAAGGATGGTGACATGTGTTTGTTCGATATGGGACCGGAATATAATTGCTATGGTTAGTATATATTTAATAATTGGTTTTATGTGTCATCCAAAAAAATTTGCTTTCTTAAAGCCTCTGACATTACCACATCGTTTCCTGCAAATGGAAAATTCACCGATAAGCAGAAAATGGTCTACAATGCAGTTCTTGACGCGAATCAAGCTGTTTTCAAAGCGGCTAAACCGGGTACAGATGATTCAGTATACAATTTCTTCAGATAAGTTCTGTACCTACGACTTAAGGTGTTCGATGGACGGACATGCACATCCTTGCTGAAAGGGTCATACTCACTCATCTTAAAAATGCTAGACTTCTCACAGGTTCGTTACCGTAATGTACCTAGATGAATGCAAAACCTGCACAAAAGCCCTGTCTCCAGTTTTGGTTCGGTGCTTCTTTTTCCAATATTGTTTTCACAAAATACACCTATTTCCGGTGACGTTGACGAAATGGTACGCGCTAGACTGGGAGCCGTATTCATGCCTCATGGTCTAGGACACTTCATTGGACTTGATGTTCACGACTGTGGTGGTTATCTAGGGGTATCTGGATTTCTTCCTCAGTTGATTAGATGGCGTTCATAAGAGATTTTTAACAGGATGCCCTACCTCGATCGAAGCTTCCTGGTCTAAAGAGCTTGCGCACAACAAGAACACTACAGGAGAGGATGGTACGTATCGATAGACATGTCCTACCTACTACCACCCCATACTATTATTCAAAAGCAATGTGCCCGTAGTTTAAGGTTATCACAATTGAGCCGGGTTGCTACTTCATAGATACACTTCTGGATGCTGCACTAAATGATCCGAACCAAGCAAAATTCCTAATAAAGTCAGAAATTGATAAATATCGTGGACAAGGCGGGGTATGTATTTAAACAGAACCTTGCTTACCACGCTGCCCCCATAAACCTTGTTATTTAGGTCCGAATTGAAGACGACGTGGTAATATGGGCCAAAGGAAACGAAAATATGAGTGATCTGCCAAGAACTGTAGAAGAAATTGAACATTTTATGCGAAGTGGGGAATTCAACGATGCCACCGTACAAAAGAGCATCAGTCATCACTTACACAAAAGTTGACCTCCATTTATTTCCTTCCACAAAAAGTCATCACATCCATTCCAACCCCTCCCTATAAACATTGTTTCAAATAATAAGTCGACTTTTCGTTGCTTCTATATTAGACTTTAATAAACAGCAGCGATACGACAGTAAAGGCGCGACGACTCATACAAGCCTTACACCCGATTTTTTTTAAAACATGCACCTCGCGTACCACGACCTCCGACTACTTCACGAATGGTCACAGAAATTATATAGTAGCAACAAAAGCAAAAGGACGAAGTCTGTTTCACAATCAGGAGCCCATTTTTTAAAGACGTTCGTGATTTATGGCCTTGGACCGTTTCTGTTGCCACTATATGTGGTTCGACATCTGAGCACACGTATCTTTCAAGCCATATCATTGTTAATAGGGTGGGAACTTGAGAACTCTATCAGACTAGTCTACATCGCATAAAGTGCTCGTTTTTTTGAAACCTGCAAACAATATAATAATGATGTGGGCAAATACAAGTAGAAAGCATGGCTTTATAGAAGCCAATACAACTTCCAATAATAATTCCATTAACATACTACAGAATCAATGTGGTGACAGTACTTTCCAAACAGTACGTTAACATTTGCAGTACAAAAATCATAACACGAAAAAGAACGAGATGCAAGCGATGTACCGGTGTTGATGGCCAAGAAACGAACTCAGTAACAACCTCCGAGTTGTTCCTGGTAGACCTGGAAGACGAACTGTGCTTGCGTGGTGCTTACCGCGCAAAACAAAATTGGCAGACAAAAACGCTAAACACTTGTAACTCAACCACAAAGAAATCACGTGGTGATCAACACTTGACGGATACCCTATACTACACCGTTAAAAATTGTAAAGGTGACTAGATGCACATATGTTGTATACAATGACGCCTCATGCTCACCAAACAGCTAAAGCAGTTGAAAGTTATGAACACGACAGAATTGTAGAAGAAACTTTTTCCTATTGTTCTATGATTAAGAATGGATATGAACGATATATATGCTGCCAATTGCTGCATTACTATGATCCCTTATGCAAATACACTGCTGTGGATATTTTTACAAAGTATTTTGCACAATATGTTAAGTTTATCTTGGTGTTCTCTGTATTCGAACATTCTATGCAATGACCACAGTGATTAGAATGAAGTAACAATAAGTTGTTAGTCAAACTAGCAGTTAACTAACTCTTTCGGAAAAAGGTTTTCTGTAAACCATTACGTATAAAGAATAGTTTTTCTGATCCTATTCCTTCTATTTTGACTGGTTTTAGATATGCTATTGATTGAATATACATACAGCGGTGAAAACTTTAGAACCCAGAAAAATGGACATGGACACCGTAGTGTCCACATCGTCGTTTAGTCCAAACCGCTACGGACATCAGTGTCCACACAAAGCGGAACGGGTTCATATTTCGAATGAATGGTATATACCCCAGATATTGATTAACTTCGAAACTTTTATAATTCTTAACTCAACCACAGGTTCGTAGAATGATGACAGACAAAACGGGTATAGTTTCATCCATTCCAGATGTTAAACCATCTTGCCCCCAAAAGGTTTACCGACTCATCATGGCTTCGATGTGCTCCTGGGCTCCTGAGTGTCGGACTGGGATGTAGAGCTAGAGCTTGGATTCCCCCAGCAGCCTTCCAGGCTGAGTCCGACATCTAAAATCAAACTAGTCGCATAGTGGCGACACCCCTTTTGATACACAAGAGCGGTGACTAGCTGGAATGGTCCTAAGGAGTGCTTCAGCTAGACTAACCTTGGGTCTCCAAGGAACCGCAATGGCTAAACCAGCGAAACCTCTGCCTCAGTACGCCGCACACTGGGCGCTCTCGTCTATGACGTCGGACGGTGAGACAACTGGTCAGAGGCGATCAAATCTCGGATTGCACAGGACTTTAAAGGAAACGGACAAACGAGCACGCCTACGACAAACTATGGAGGCTGCTTCTTGCCGTGAATCTACAACACCAGAAGAGTCTTTTAAAACGCCGATCTCTACGCTCATCTTGAGGGCGCCGGTCGCACCAAATTTCATGTGATCGCTCCACAAGCGACGAAAAGCGGGAAAGCCAATACACACCAATTAGATAACAGAACCAACATCATTCGTGAAGGAAAATTTCCGTCATGAAATGTTCGAATTTTTGGCTTTCTAGTACCTCATTTATTTTCCATTTAGTCACCACACAAAATCTTACCACCGCACTTGTTCATTCTTCGTCTCCAACTTGCGAGTCAAAAGAAAGTCAGTATCATGAACTATTATTCACCAACTTCTATAGCTGATAAGAGCGAACTAGATGTGTTCTACAACCGGTTGGTATAGGTATTACAAGAAGATCTTCTACAGATTCGTTGGAGGCTTCAGTGCCATATTAGAAATCGCCGACGGAAAAGAACACAGAATACAGAAATTCGGAATAAGGGGACGAAATGAGAATGGGAAGTCTGGCAGGACTCCTGTCCGCAGCAGGTCTCTTCCATGAGAAATCATTTTTCGAGAACAGAGAAAACCGCAGACGGATACGGGAGTTTCCTAGCGGCACGACTCGAGATCAACATTCTAACGGACATAAAACCACCACCTTCTCCGTGCTAAGATTCGATTCAGCCTTGAAAAGAACTTCTATCATCGTCCAAGAAAAACAAAACAAGTTGTGTATGACGAGGATATTCCCAATAAAATCCTCCCCTCACACGACCGGCAGATAAACGAAGAACGATGGCTACACGCATCTTGTCAAAGGACTTAAAACCTGTGCCAAACTCGTCTCAGTTGCTCAAGAGAAGCTCAAACCACATACCCTTTATGATCAAGGAGTTGTTCGAAAAGAAACTGAAGCTGGATTCTATTGCAACACAGCCAACACAGCTGATAATAAACGCCAGCTGCAGAAGACCTTTGCAAGAGGATTTACAAAGGTATAGGCAGAAATCTAGCAGTCCTCGTTCCACAATCCCGCGCCGGACCTCGAAATCACCATTCTTGAAAAACCGCCCAGGATTCTACCCTTCGAAGTTCGAATTACGATAGAAAGCATCGGGAATGGTTCAGCCCTTCAATCTCTAGAGCTAGAGTCACAAACTACACGTGGTTCTCACAACCCGCATGACATCTTACTATCGGAAACAGAAAATTACAGATCACTGCAGGACGTGCTATCTTGCCTAAGAATGGTGACCGAAGCGATCATTGTAACTTCGATGCAGTATGCCTGCTAAATGTATTCTACAGCTATCCGGTGGACCACATCCAAACCTTGTCATGAATCATAAAAGTTTGTCGGAAACACCATCTGCCACTTGTCCTAATCTCTGTTGACAATGAGGAAAGGTCTGACGGAGTCCAAACGAATGTAATCCTATCAGCACCCGTTAACAAAGGAGTGGATCCGTCCTGTAAAGGAACACTAGCAGTCGGAACTCCAGCACAAATATGAAGTTTTTCTATCGACTCCTAACCATACCCACAGAAAAAGGGGTTCAACATGGCGACACAATATCGCCAAGCCTGTTCACAGCCACACTGCGGTGGACAACCAAATCGGTCGAGTGTGACGAGAAGTGCATACCTACTGACGGAAAATCGTTATCAAATCTTCGCTTCGCGAATGACATCGCCATCTTTTTAGCAGTACGAGTGAAGAAGAGACGACGCTCAGTGAACTCAAAGAAGCAGGAAAAAGGATTGGATCACGCGTAAATAGGACGAAAACCGAGTTCATGAGAAACCCATAGTGCGAAGACGAACAAATCTAATAACAAATGTTTTCTGAATACAAAGTCGACCCGGTACGTGAACATTGGACATATGAATTTGGAGAATAATATGAAGGAAGAAATGGACAGAAGAGCAGAATGGGTTCAGGTATACTCAAAGAAACCACCGACCAAGTAACAGAACCCAAACTCCGCGCTCACTTTTTCGATTCAGAAGTCCTTTCAGCACTCTGTTTTGCAGCAGAGATGCGGGATGATACTACAACCACGTCAGTGAATCTGCGCACAACCCACAGACCGCCTGAACAATATTTTTTGAAATTCAACCGGCACACAAAACGCCTAGCCAGAATGCGCAAATCAAATCTACGTAGCCTGCCGCATCTTCGGAACTCAGGAAAATTACATCGATACCGAATCATATATGGTCCAGTCACGTACTTATAATAGATGACAGATGGACGAAAAGAACAGTGGAGTCCACTCCATGAAAATGCAAGCACCCTTTTGGAAAACCACCCAAACGGTGGGTGGACGTGTTCGTGGCTAGTGTCATCCATATATACACGCAAATGAAATCGATTTTAGTTTACAATGGGCCTCGAAGACGTCACTATGTTCGAAAGAGGCCACCACCATAGGCGACGATTGCGAGGGAGCAACTAATGCAAGCTAAGCTTGGACCCTCACCACCAGTGAAGACGGATCATCCAAGTAGCCACGTATGCGAATCAACTTGTGTATGTGATCTAACGCATCGCTGGGAGTCCTGCATGTGTCGCCCTTTATGATTTAAACTTAAACTGCGATCAACAATAATGCTTTTGAATGTATATATATATATTCATAAATACATATATATGTATATAAACACATAGGGCGCGCATGACGCAGTGCTTGGAGGCGCTACTGCGACACATACGTATAAACGATCCCGCGCCCATGACCTACCAAGCCTACCATCCCTCCAGGGTTGGCAAATTGGTACCAGACTTGTCTGGAGGATAGCAGCACTGGGTCGATAAATCGGTAGGCCACCGCGAGTCATTGTAAAGGCCGGATATGCATTCAATCACTTCCTACCATACTTAATGAAGTCGGATGCATGGCGCATCCCTCAGGGATTGACCAACGCCGAGAGCTTTACCTTTTATCCTTTGTATATACACATGTACATACCTATACACATGTATGTATGTATGTATATATGAGGCTTTTCAAAATACTCTAACCATACTCCAGCGCTGTCTACCATTGTCTATCATTCATTCAGTAAAGAATTAATAAAATCCGCTTCTACATCCAAAAAAACTACCCTGCACGAAGAAATTACCTCAATCACGTCATCCTCCTCCATCTCAAGCGTTTTCGGCGTATCGTCGTCATTAATCCGACGACCATCGAACAAAAAGCTATGAGAACGGAACACTAATTAATTCTACTAGACAGTAAACATCAGTCGGATAAAGACCTGACCTGTAATGTGAAAAACTGTAATTTACCGTAAAGACGAAACGGCCACCCCGGTACGATCGGCATAGGACTTCTTCAATTTGCCCATTGCAGTACCGTTCTTTACACGGAAATGGACCTCATTCGAATCCTGAAATTCTGGTTAATGAACAATAAAGTTTCTACTACTTTGGAAAATGATCTAATGCCGTATTTTTCTTGTAATGTCAGAAAAGCATTCATTGGATTCAATAGATTAAGTTAAATAGCTAATGGTTGCATGTTGTCCACTTAGCACATGGTAAATAATATAAGTCCACCAAGCAAGGCTGAATACTCTGTAAAAACTGATACTAACTTGAAAAATATACAAAATAAACTGGTCATCAACTTAGCACTCTAGCGTATTTACAAAGAAAACACTGTGTTAGTTGTTTTCTGAAGCGGCACATACTCAACTCCAAGTTTGGAAACTATCATTTATCCTGCTTATTTTAAGATATTAACAAAAATATTAAGCCTGAAATACAATACGCTTTGAGACTAATGTGTGCAGCCGAAAGTCACACTTTATGATTTACCTCGAGAAATATGTCAGTATTGTTGTTCTTCACGTACAACGCCTAATTTCAATGACTCAAGTGTAAAGCAGCCAATAGATGGCCATTTTCAACAAATAAGTCAAGACTTGTAACAAACTTTTACTTACTTACTTGATACTTGAATGGCCCTTCCTCACTGGTTGTGCGGGCCCCAGCATAATCTCCATTTTTTGGAGATTTGCTGGTTAAGCCATTATGGTTCCCTGGACTCCCGAGATCAGCCTGGCCAAAGTCTGCCCGAAGTCGTCATCACCACAGGCAGTCGCAGCCCTTATGGATCAGAGGGAGATTTGCCACCATGCGACTGGTTTGATATCAGGACAGTGGTGGATCCTGGTATTGGTTTGCTCTTAGTTAGGCTTCCCGATGGAAACGCCGGACTTCTTCTCAGTTTGGGAGACCCTGCCAGGGGATGAATCCCCCGCTGTACATCGCAGTGCGACACCCAGGAACACCTCCCAGCCACGATGAGGCGGTAAACCGTTGGGAGTAACAAACTCTACCCATTCTAAATATACAGTTCCTCCAAAACAACTAATGGGAAGACCATCACAATCGTTAGCAACCAGGTATCAAAATACAGACATTATTCTGTTTAGTACAAAAATCAAACATAACGTTTCGCAAATGATATAACTCCTTCGACTCACCTGTCCCACTACTTTGAGTTTTATGTACTCAGCTGTTGAATCACCAGCAGCTGGTGCTTCGCTTCCGTTGTCAGCCATTACTCCTGAAGTTCACACGTTAAGAAGTCTTAGACATAGTTCTACTAGCTATACACTCCGTTTTCTTTACGCCGAAACGAAAACAACACACAGTACAACAATTCACAAAAACCACACACGTGTAATCAATACAAAAAGAGGAAAACGTAGAGTGATGGGACCGACCGCCACGGCCCATTGACAAAACCGCGAGTTATTGATCGATACGGCAATGGTTTCGCGCCAGAATGGCGTCATGCTGCGCCCGTTTCGTAGATGCCCGCTCATTGTGAGACGCGTGCAGATTTGGGGCACCAAGCAGCTCAGTTGTCACGTGATGTTATGCACGACCAATCGATAACCAACTTGCGAAAATGATGAGATACGTGTTGTAACATGACGTGACTGCTTTGCTCAAGTAGCAGTTGAAATTTCTGCCTAGTAGGGATAACTCTTATAATAATGATTACAGTTAAACTGCTCCCCAACGGTTTACTGCCCCATCGTTGCTGGGAGATGTGCCTGGGTGTATGGCTGCGACGTACAGCGGCGAGATTTATCTCCCTTGCAGGGCCTCCCAAGCTTAGAGTGTTCGGCATTTCTATCAGGAAGAAGTAAACTAATACCAGAATCAACCAACGTCCTGTATCAAACTAGTCGCCTGGTAGCAACTCTTCCTCCGAACCACTGGCAACGACCGCTTGTGATGGTGAGGAACCGGAGCACACTTTGGTTTGGCTGACCTCGGAAGTCCAGGGAACACCAACAGCTAAACCAGGAAAACTCCGAAAAGACGGAAATCATGCCGAGGTCCGCACAATCAATGAGGATGGACCATCCAAGGATTCAAGTAAATATTAACTTTACTCGGATACTCTGATCGCCCGTCTTCACTGGTTATGCAGGCCCCAGCATAATTTCCATTTTTTCGGAGTTTTGCTGGTTTAGCCACTGTTTCCCTGGAGTCTCGAGGTCAACCATGCCAAAGTCTGCCCCAGGTCGTCACGACCACAGGGAGTCGCCGCCCTTGTTGATCAGAGTGAATTTTGCCACCATGCGACTAGTTTGATACCAGGACGGTGGTGGATCCTGCTATTGGTTTACTCTTAGCTGGGCTTCCTGATGGAAACGCCGGACTCCTTCTCAGTTTGGGAGACCCTGCTGGCAAGATAAATCCCTCTGTACATTGCAGCCCGAAACCCAAGAACACCTTCCGGGCCATGATGAGGCGATAAACCATTGGGAAGAGCAAAGTTAATAATAACTAGAATGACTTACAATAATAACAATGAATATCTAAGATTCTAAACGGCATTGGACTCATGGACTCACTACGTAAGATTCTATTCGTCGCAAAAGGAGAAGGATGAATAAAGTTCAGGAAACAGGATCCGAAAACCTTTTCTCAAAAACAGGAACGTTTTTAAATGACTTCTTTGGGGAAGAATTTAAAGACAGAGAGGTAGCACTGGTAGAACAAGTTCGAGATGCTATGAACGATATCCGCCGTCCGCGATGGGGCTTTAGCATCAAGCAGAAGCAAATCTCAAAACCGACTTTCTCCTAACCTCGGTGTTCATCAGTAATTCACTGTTTTCCCTTATTAATGCATGGTAATTAATAAATTCTGTAATAACAACCTTATGCTTGCTCATCAACGAAGACAGTGAAAAATGAGCAAAGTTTGTACCGTCCAACATACGCGTGGAAGTCACTGCATCCAGAAAGGCAATGGAAGAGGGCACCATCCACATTTTACTGGATCTTTTTGACCCGTATTCCCACACACTTTCATGTTATTCTAGGTTAAGGAGTCTTGTCAACGCTTTTTCCCAAAACTCAATATGCTACTTCATTAGCAAGTGGTCGTACAGCATACTCATATAGAATCCATTCAACTCAAACATGTGAAGAAGTTGGCACGTAGCTTACCAATATCTTAAAAAGCGACTTTCATTAAACCATGGTAACAGTAATCGGTAAACTTCTATATGATTGAGTTGACACGAGGTTGGTACAAAACTTTTATTCGGCTAACGTTCCGGTACCTTACCCTTCCTGAGAGCCCATTGATCCGAGTCGATGGTCCACAGTTGGTCGTGGTCGCGATGTGGGTGTTCGTCGTCGCATCGAGTCGAATCCGATAGAGGAAGTGGACCGCATTAATGGGTGACTTCAGTCAGCGGTGCCCTTTTATACAGCACGGATGGTGGTCGTTCCCCGCCAACAAGTATGACCTCCAATTTTGCGAGCAACGCGTCTTGTAGCAGTCTCTACCTGATATTCTGGCACGTACTGGGGCAAACTCTCAAAAACGTTGGCCGAAGGAAAAATCAATGTGGCTCTGAAGAAAGTGAAGATGCTGAAACGTTAGCCGAGTAGAAGTTTTGCACCAACCTCGTGTCAGTTCAGCCATGTAGAAGATTATGTGAGGAAGTTGTTTCTTTTCCTATGAGCTACAGAGCTCACTTTCATCGACCTCGATTTCCTCTCGTCAAATTTCTCCGAAGAAGTGGATGCCAAGACGAAAGCCTTTGATCAGAGAATCTTCGACGCATATAGATGAACTGTATTGCAATTCCACAGCCATAGTCACTACTCTGTACAGAAATATGAACACCTGCGTGAAAAAGCTTTGAAGCATTTCCGATAAATTCTACAAATCCAAAACTGAATCGCAAGCAGGAGTAGCTTGTGATCACATGTGATCTGGCACCACAACTCACACTGATTTTTTCCCACCTGAGCCTAACACGTTCCCGACCCATGAAGAGCTCTGTGCGGCTGGTCTCCATTAAACAGCTGGAGAACTTGGAAAGAACAAAACGGTGATTAGTCATAATCACAATCTTAACAGTTTTATTTACTGCCTACTCTTTTAAATGGCAGGGTATATTGCGAAATATAATTTCAATGATGCTGACATATTTGCAAAACTCCGGACCGCAGGTTTCTGCGGTGGGGAACGAACGCGCTATTATCCTTTCCGGCTTGTTACGCGTTCACCACCATACCATGCGGGTCCTTTGTTTCGCCTGTCTTTCAGTTAGTTCTATCAATATCAATGCAAATATCTCAGTATCATTGAAGTTATACTTCGCAATATACCTCGCCATTTAAAAGAGTAGGCAGTAAATAAAACGGTTAAGATTGTGATTATAACTAAAAGCTTCAGCTTAACTCGGTTCATTGCCGATTTGGGCTTCCCAGATCAATCCCGCTGACGAGTGATTGCTGATGGCAGAGATCGACAGAACTAGCTGAGAGACAGGCGAAACGAAGAACCCACATGGTGTGGTGGTGAACGCGTTACTCCCCGGAAAGGACAATAGCGCGTTCGTTCCCCACCGCAGACACCTGCAGACCGGAGTTCCGCGAATATCTCAGCATCATTGAAAACGGTGATTGTGGAGGTGGAGCTGTTTAGTACGCCAATAAAGATGTATTTATCACGTCTTTTCTGCTGAGGTTACTAAAGTGCTTGGTTGAGTAGACTGCGCCTCAGCTTGACTCTTCCAGACTCTGAAAAAGGCGAAATCGCCGAAACGTCTACCAGTAATTGTACTGAATAAATCTTATTGTAAACAACTTGATTTGATCAGTGCCAAGGTTAACCGAACATCGGTCTTGGAAGTCTCACACTCCCTTAGCATACGAGTAGTTTTACTGCGTTTTACACGTCTATCCAAAGGCATACCATGTCTTCGTGGTGAAATGTTCTTAGGGAGCGAAATTCGATTTGCAAATAAATGCTGAATGCACCGACAGAGCAAGAAAACTGGCTGAGAGGAAGGCAGGACAAGGTTCTTGGTTGGCGGGGTAAATGGCACGTCAATCCCCGCTAGGTTCAAAGCCCAACTGAGGTTCCTTGTTTTGCTCCTATCTCAGCATCTTTGTAATTACGAAGTATTAAAACTCATATAATTTAGCTGTAGTTTCATAGCCTTATTAATACTTAGAGGGATAAAAGGAGCCTGTCATGTCTACTCCAGTCTTCGCTTTACATTTATTCTACACCTTCGCAAAGCTGACCATTTTTTCAAAAATGTCCCAATTGTAAGACTTCAATTCATGTGTTTATTTCAGTAGACCACAAGTACATTCGTATCTCCATTATATTCAGCGTCAGATTGTCGTCCATATGAGTTTCTTATTTATAATCTCATGACAAGGCTTATTATGCTACTATTAACACAGATCATTTTACATATTTGTCATTACACGAGACTATAGATGACGGAAGCTGGCGCTATTGCAACATGCTACAGTCGATCATACTAGCTAGTAGTGAGATCCAAGAACATAATAGGATAAAGGATAAAGCTCCCAGCGTTGATCTATCCCTGAGGGATGCGCCAAACATCCAACTTCATTAAGCATCGTTGGAGGTGATTAAATGCATATCTGGGCTTCATAATGAGTCGCGGTAGCCTACCGATGTATCGAGGCAATGATGCTATCCCCCAGATAAGTGTGGCACTAATTTGCCAACCTCACAGTTTTAACTTATTATTTACTGCCTGCGCTCTTTAACGGTGATTATAAACGGTGATTGTGATTATAACTGCGACCTCAGCTTAACTCGGTTCATTGCCGATTTGGGCTTCCCAGATCAATCCCGTTGACGGGTGATTGCTGTGGCAAGGATCGATAAGACTAGCTGAGAGACAGGCGAAACGAAGTACCCACATAGTGTGGTGGTGAACGCGCTACTCCCCGGAAAGGACAATTGCTCGTTCGTTCTCCACCACAGGCACCTGCGGTCCGGAGTTTTGCAAAATATCTCAGCAACATTGAAGTTGTTGTTGATGTTGTTGATCGATGGCTGACGTTTCGGCGACTTCGCCTTCCTCAGAGCCTGGACGTATTTTATATTAGAATATTATTATTCGGTGGGAAAAGGGTTAAAGTATTAATGGGGATCAAACTTTTAAAAAGGCGCCATATTGGACAGAAAGGCCACTCATCTTGATGATACGTGGAGGACTGGCCCACGCGTTGTTTACGGGGAGAGCAAGGCA